CCTGTAGCTCCGACAGACTGCAGACTGATAACGTTTAGAAATGTTTTCTGCTGAACAAAACTGTTTCCATCATTGCATGCAGGGAGGGCTGGTTACACTGCTGCTCTGAGCGCATTCCCTGTGCCTTGCCAGCACCATCCTCACTGCATGGATCCATCTTTGCGCAGCAACGCAGCACAGCAGTGTGACAGCTGTTGTTACCACATTAACCTTAACACAATCATTTCTTCCTGGTATTCACACATCACAAACCCATAATGGAGTTTGTTTTCGGGTGCAGTTGTCCCAGCCTCATTGTGTCTCTGTTACTTTTGCCGTGATGCCATTCAGAAGCAAAATTGTTTTTTTTAAATTCAAAGAAAAATTTTACTCATGAGCAGCAATGAACAGAAAGGAGCAGCCCAGAAAATGACAAGCTGCAAATATTTTGGATGCTTCCCCTGGACTCAGCAGTTTGCCAACTTCCTATCTATTTCCATAACCCACACGGAATGTTTTGTAAAACAATTTCCTTGGCTCTTCTCATTTTGCACCTTTGTTGCCTCTGCTGTACCTCCAGGTTCCATTCTCCCTTTCCATGGGTAGGTCTGTCCTCCAAAAGCCTTACATAAAAAGCGTGCGATAAATAGAGACACAGAACTGGTCAGATTGCCTGTGGGGTCTGAGTATGCTCACGTATTTCAGTCCTTCATGCACGATAAAAGTACAGATGCTTATGCTGTGAATCAGAGTTGCAGAGGCCCCAGCACTTGCCAGATTCCTGAGCTCATTATCATCAGCTCTCCCTTCAGACACTGTAGTAAGAATTGTTTCCCATTTTGTTCTGGTTTTCTTCTCTCTGTGGTCAGCAGTGGGCATTTCTCTATTTGTCCCTGACACTGTTATCAACCCTGAGGCTCCTAACGGAATCATTAACTATTTCACTCACTTTTTTTCCATGGCCCAGCACAAGAGTTTGCTCTGATAAAGAGGAGTGACTCCAGACAGGAAAAGAGAGATAAATATATTCCTTTTTCTTCTCTTCCTTAAGATTAAAGGAAAAATCCACCCCTCGACACAAGCTATGAACACCAAGCAAACCAAAGCTGTTACTGTAATCAGACAACTAGGAGACTCAGGATGTGCAGCTCACATAAAAAGAATGTGGAAATACATGCAGGCACGAAGGCAAAGGATTTCTGACCTCAAAGACCTGTTTGCTGTTTCCCCCACTGTGTGTCTGTCCCACCAGTGAGATCAGCCCCGATGCTCACTGCGCCCGGCCGTAAGATGCGTGTCACAGAGGAAACATTATTGCTCTCCGACTACAAAAGAAGTCAGCAGGTGGATTTACCCCCCCCCCCCCTTCACCCTCCATAACACCCAGCATTCCTGCCCCTTTTTCAGTTCACAGTACATGGGGTTATTGTAACACTTTGGTCCTCCACATTAATCGCTCTGGGGCATTCGCGCTATCTTCATTAAAGCTCCTGTTAAAAAAGTAGCAACTCTACCTTAGAGCACCTTAAAACATGTAACTAAAAATAAAAAACATGTAATTAAAAATTAGAGACATTAAAACATGAATGAGAGCAACTCCAGACCCACGTTCACGTGGAACACCGGCCAGGCAGGGGAGCTTGGGTGAGGAACGGACCGTGCAGCGAGTCAGAGCCAGCGGGAATGAGAACAGCCACCAGCAAGGGTGGAATTCTGCTCCTTACCTGGTAGATCATGACTTTGAAATTCCTGCGCTTCAGGAGCTCCGCTTCGTTGGCCTCCAGCTTCTTGATCTGCCCAGCCTGCTTCTCCAGGTTCTGCCGGACGCTCTTCACGTTGACGCTCACCTTGCGCACTTTTTCCAGCATTTTGTTCACGGTGTTACTGGTGGTGGTGTGAGCTTTGGTCAGCTTGGTTAACTCTCCCTGGATGCTGACCACTGCGCTATCCATCTCTTGCTGTCTTTCCTCCAGCTGTGTTTGGGTCAGCTGAATCTGATCTACTGCTCCGATGATCTTGTCCAGAAGGGTCAGCACCATCATGCCGTTGATCTGGTCTGACTTGATGGGCTCTTCGGGCATTTGCTCCTCGGAGGCCTCAGAAGCAGTTGGTGGTTCGATAATTTGCAAAGTAGTATCCTCCATGATGGCTGGGGAGTCCTGGCGAGGAGAGCCCAGAGAAACTGCCGCTGCAGGGAGAGCAGGGAAAGCTGAACCCGAGCCTCAGCTAAACTCTGCGCTGGGAGACACGCCAGAAATGGAGAGTGCAGTGCGTGGATGTCTGTGCTGAAATTCAAATGGCACAGCTCTGCAGAGCTGTCCGGTGAAACTGCCCTGCGAAATTTTCCAGGCTTGCAGGTCATTGGCTGACTCCACCTCAGCTATATAAAAGGAGCCCGCTGCCAAATGCCTGATGACCCACCCTCTTTGAAATGATTAAAATAGTTGGAGGGCTGGCGATGGCTTTGCATGCAAACACAGGCACAGCTCAGCAAGGAATGCAAAGCTCTGAAACTCCGGCAGCCTCTCCTTTACCATAAGTCTAAAGGCATTACGTGCGATGAGAGGAAAAAACAAAAACATCGGCGCAGGAAGCGGCTGGAAAGAAACATTGCAGCTGTGTACATTAGAGCTTAAACAATTGCACACGTTCAAGTTCAGCTGGAAAATTCAGATCTTTTGCCAACTCTTGGCATTTTTTTCCAGTACTTTGAGAGCTTGGTTTTCAGTACTTTTAAAAAGCAGCTGAAATTCAGAGTAGTTACAAAAAATAAAGTCTGGATCACAAAATCACATGCTTCCATGTGTCTGAATACGCACAGCAGGAATGTGCACGATGTGTACAGTGAGTGCCACAATGCGGGATTTTACATAAAAGAAATAAGTGTAATTCATCCCTGAAGTGAAGCTGATGGCCACTCCTACCTAAAAGCAGCTGTCTCTGCTCTGCAATCCTCTGCTCACCAACAAATCCCACCACCAGGCTTCAATGCAGGACATGCTTCCACGTACGCCATGCAGAAATGTACTTCTAAGGAATACTCAAATACTCTGTGCTACATTGGGCATCACTGGTAAAACAAGCAAACAAACCAATCACCTGATCAGTTCAGAAATTAATACAGTACATAAAGCTTTTGAAAATGAGGGGAGAAAATCATCCTATTTTGCGAACTTTAACCTTGATTTTGGCACAAGGCAAGTCATGGAGTCTTACAGTGTTGGCAGAAGTTTATGGCTTGTGATACCACCATCAGCTTATTGCCTTAAAAGACGCTTGTGACGTGCTCCCAAAGTGTCTGCAACAACCTGGTACGACCAAGGAGAGGAACACGATGAAGGAAAATTTCTATCCTGGAAGTGTCCCTGGATGGGATCTCTCTACTTGTACTGTTGGTGGCTCAGCCAGAGGAAATCACTGCTGTGAAGCCTCTGCTGGTGTGGGCAGCTGAAACCATTCCAGGTTCAGCTGGAGGGCTGTGAGCAGACTGGGAAGGCTGCAGGTTCCCTCTTGCCCTGTACCTTGATGACAGCAACCCATGCTCAGCACATCCTGCCTCGGGTTGGGGTCAAGCCCACTCTTGACATTTGCCCCTGGCAGGCAAATAAAATAAAGGCCCTACAAAGTTTGGTTTATCCAGATTCATACCTCAAGCCAGAACTGGAAGAAATCCTTAATTCCTAGCATACAAGCTGGGAAATCCACTACACACAACAGATGTATAGGATCATTGTTTAATGAGGACTACTTGCTGCAGTTAGCACTTTCTGTGCCCCCGTGTTCTCTGCCATGTGACAGCTTGCTTTTCAATGCTGTTTACCCACAGCACACCATTGATCTGGATTCGGTTTCAGAAAGTTGTGTTGTGCAGCTTCCACTATAGGTATTATGTCATGTATTAAAAATAGCTTGCTTTTCTACACCCTGTTTTTTTCCTGGAGGGACCTTTTTCCTGAGCATTTATTTCCAGTGTTTGGTGCTGATGAGTCAGTTCCATGTAAAAATCCCTCCCTCCTGCCAGGCAGAAACAAAGCTCTGCAGTTGTTTGTCACTGGGGAGATCTCCTCAGAGTGGATTCCCACAACAATTTTCTGTGAAATTTTATGTTCAGAGCAGGATGCAGACCAGCGCTCTCTTTATAGTTCCTTCTGTGACTTTATTGCAATCCCTGAGCCTTAGGTTCCCCATTTGGGAACAAAAGCAACAACACCAAACTGATTACATAAATCGAGATAGAGCAACATAAACCAACAGAACAGGAACTTGGTTTCAGTCTCGATACCCAGAGAGCACATGTAGTGTCACATTCTGGGCTTGCTGCACACACAGCAGTCACACCCCAAGCTGAAATGCAGTGAGTAAGATTCTATGTTAAGACTCGCTTCCTTACAGCCATTTTCCGCAGCAGAGGCATACCAGGGAAAGCCAATAGGTGGCAAACTGCAGCCTTCCCTCTGATTTGGACACCTAAGGGCAGTGGATTCCTCTCTATCTCTTGCAGCACGAACAGCTTCTCGGTGCTGTTATTGAGCGGTAGATCGAGTTTGACCTTTGGATCTCCCTGTAGGCAGGGACAGTGCAAACAGAAGCATCGTTCAGCTTCAAAGCAAACAGTTAGAAGTGTGGAGTTGAACAAGAAGGTGAAGCACAGCACGGGCGCCGCGCTGCTCTCTGCTCAGTTCTGCGGGCAGCACGTTCGGCAGCGCAGCTCTGCAGTAAGACGGCGGCGCTGCGGGCAATGAGTCGGGCACGGGCCGGCAGGGCGCGGAGCGGCAGGCGGGGCTACGGCAGGGAGCGGCCCAGCCTCGCAGGGAACCCCGCCCTCAGCCGGGTGCCGCCCCGCAGCGGCTGCCATCAGGCCGTGGCTGCAGCGCCCCGGCCCCAGCTGCTCCGCGCGGCCGCTTGCCGCGCGCCAGGCCGGGCCGCGCCTTCACACCTCGGCCACGCCGGAAGTGACGTCATCGCCCGTCGCACGGCGCACAGTGACGTCAGAAGGGCCGCAGTGCGGCAGAACGCGCGGCTTCCGGTCCTCCCGCGCTGTCACTTCCGGTGCGGCCCGGCGAGTCGCGCCGTCTCTAGGAGACGTGCGTAGTGACGTCAGAGCCGGGCGTCGCTGCCGGTCAGCCGGTGGCCGAGGCGGTGCGGGTGGTGCCGGCAGGTAAGGCGGCGATACCGGGCGGAACCGGGCCCTGCGGCCCAGCGGGGCCTCTGTCCGACGGGGCTGAGGCTTCGCTTCCACCCCCGTGCGAGTTCGAAGGGCGCCGTGAGGGGGCGGCGGGGTGGCCCGTCCGGCTGGCCGGCCCCTCCCGTGCTTTTATCGCCTCTTCTTCGTCAGAGGCCGCGGTGGGCGCCGCCATGGGGGAGCTGTTCCGCAGCGAGGAGATGACTTTGGCCCAGCTTTTCCTGCAGTCCGAGGCCGCGTATTGCTGTGTCAGCGAGCTGGGCGAGCTGGGGAAGGTGCAGTTCCGTGATGTGAGTAACGGCGGAGGCAGGAGAACCGGCCGGGCCACGGGAGCGGCCCGCTGCTCCCCGCCTGCCCCCTCGTTGCCCCCCCGCTCCCATCTCTGGGGGTCCCTGACATAAGGGTGGCGTCGAGGAAACGTTTTTCTCTCGGCAGCTGAACCCAGACGTGAATGTGTTCCAGCGGAAATTCGTTAATGAAGTCAGGAGGTGTGAAGAAATGGACCGAAAGCTCCGTACGTCCCTCGCTGCGTCCTGGTGCTGCAGCATTTTTGGGGAAACAAGTAACGTAGTGTAAGCCTAGAACAGCATTAAAAGGCAAAGTGCAGTTTGGAGAACTGAAAGCTGCCTTTCTTCTGTATGTCAGCCAGTCAGGCTGCATCCAAGGATTCATTTCCTGGTTGAAAAATAATCTGATTGCACCATTTTGTAGGTGAAAGGACTTGCAGATCAGCTGATGGGTGTGGGTTAAAGGAGTGATAACTTGACATTAAGGTGTCTTTTCAGCTAATGTTGATGGTACTGTCTTTTCAGGATTTGTTGAAAAGGAGATCAAAAAAGCAAATATTCCTATCATGGACACGGGTGAGAATCCAGAGGTGCCATTTCCACGTGACATGATTGATTTGGAGGTAATAACGTGTCTTAAGACTTAAGTAGTGTTTGAGCTCGGTGAAAACATGTGGCATCAGCTCTATGGGCAGACATCTGTTGTATTTAGTGGTAGAGATTCATTAGCCATGGGCCCCACTCACTTGAAACGCATCCTCATCATCAGTTTGATTTTAATTCACCAACACTGTTTTGCTTTCACATTTATGCAGATATGGCTAAAAGTGAAAGGCAGTGCTTTGACTCACTTAAAGAAGTGAAATTCCTGGAAAAATGTTTGGCAGCATGATTTATAGTGACTGGGTCAGAGCTGAGGTTTTAAGGGCTTGTGGTGATGTGAAGAATGCTGCGAGTCCTACCTGTAGTGGAGACTGCATGAGTCTGAAGGGTTTCAAGCAGCCCAAAGAAAATGTCACAAATAGTTTGTGTGCAGCCTCCATCATTGTATGCGAATCTCGTGGGAGCTTAAAGCAGCCTGTGTTGTTTTAATAGATTTAATAGCACTTATTTATTCAATTGCTTTAAGGCACTTTTTTTTTTTCCCTCTTCTTTCTTGCAGGCGAACTTTGAGAAAATTGAAAATGAGCTTAAAGAAATCAACACAAATCAGGAAGCTCTGAAAAGAAACTTCTTGGAGCTGACAGAGTTAAAATTTATACTGCGTAAAACTCAGCAGTTTTTTGATGAGGTCAGAGCACCGGGGGTGGGTCGGCGCTCGGGCAGCAGGTTCTTGTCCCCCAAACTGCCATTTGTATTCTCAAATATTTTCAGTTGTTGTTTTGGGCAGCAGTTCCATCTTCCTGCTTTATCTAGGAAAGCTTCTCAGTTATTTTCCGTTTCTCATGCACTATGCATAGCCACCCATGATTTACCTCTTCAATTTTTTTTAACTTAATGGTTTCACTAAAAATATGCAAAATAAAGTACCAGTAGTTCTGAAAGCATGTTGGCAGGACGGAAATTTGCAGGTACAGTGAGCAAGAGTTTCTTCGTGATGTGTGCAGATAAGCAGTCATGCCTCCGTTACACAGAGGTATTAAAATCAAACTTCAGTGTTTGAAATGTTGTATGGAGATTGTTCATTAAGTCGTAAGACAAAGTTCACTGAAGTTAATGGATTTATTTTTAACGTGTTGAACCTTTGATCAAGCCCCCAAAACTTTTAGAGGTGAGTTCTGGAGGAAAACAGAGCTTAAAATCAATAAGGTTTTGTCAAATGAGAGCCAGGTCAGAGAGGGACGTACATCTCTGGTGTCACTCGTGTGTATTGGCCTAAAGCCTGAATAACAGAAAACCTGTCCTTCATCTTAAAGCATCAGTATCTCAAAAGCCAGGCAGTTTTCTCAAAGAGCTCCTGTGTGGCTGTTGAGTAGTAAAGACACGGTTTTTGCTGAGAACGTCTCCAGTCTCCTCTGATCAGCGATTTGATCAAAGAGTTCTTATTGGATGTGGCTCCTGGTGTTCACAAAGGCTGTGATCAAGAGGAGCTGGGCTCCTGCAAACTTCAGGCCTTTTACCTGACGGTTTTTTCTTGGCTCAGGATGGTGCCTGTTCAGGCAGTAAGATTATTCCTGTGCCAAAGCAGGCCTTCCTTGCTGCTGGTGTAGATACTTGTGTGTGATCTGTTGGTTGCTCGTGGGGTTTGTTCAGAGCTTAAAGACTCGTCTTCGAGTGTTGAAAGCCCACCTGGAAGTTGCTGAGAGTCTCTGTGGATGACCAGCATGAACTTGATAATCTGTTACATAGCTGCATTCAGATGCTGATTGGCTCTCCTGTTCCAAGTGAATATTGAGTAAAGCCTCTTGCACTTGCATTAATTGCACTCATCTAGCGAGAGCTGCCTACTGCCTTTCTTCAAGGACAGTGTGAACATACTAAAATTAATTTCCTACTTAAAAATCTGTCAGACCTTGCATAAGGAGTCCTTGTGTCAGACCTCCGAGAACTGGGCAGTGAAGGTTTAGATGTTTATCCTCCTGCTTGGTGACTGTATTCTGCAATAATAAAATGTCACGTACTGCTGCAGATGGAAGCAAACTGAGCAGTCCGTGTGTGAAATCCACTGAAGTTGTCGAAACTTTGACTATTTCTCTTCACACTGTGATCAGAAAGCTGTGCGTGAGGTCCTGGCTAGCCCAGGCCTCCTGGGCATTGTGCAGTCCTAGGTGTCCTCAAACACTGATGCTTTACTTTGTCATGCTGTCATTTGTACGGTACCTTCAACACTGGAAGACTTTAATGAGTTGTAATCAAGATTATGCTATTCATAGTAATAAGTTGCACAAGAAATGGCTTGCTACTTAGTCTTTTGTATTTGGCATTTGCTGTCTGGAGTTTCTGCAGTGGGGGTGGGAGGTTGTGAAGCTCTTTCAGGTCTTGCTATGACCATTCTTGTTAGCAGAGCCATTTCTTGTTTCAACGCTGTGTTGATGATTATGCTCCTTTTCTTAGTCTTCTTGTTTTTGCTTATAAAGAACAGTCTGGGCTGGAGAGATTTCTCTGAAAGTTTTGCCATAAGCATCCTAAAGTGTGAGCGTAAAAGAAGACTGGAAAAGTAATGGTTAATGGCATGCAGTCCCCGTCTCTCTTCCCTCTAACTCTCTCATCATCTGCTTCTCTTCTGTTTGTTTCGCATCTGTCATTTCTGCCTGGGCTCTGGGTTAATAAGCGAGGTGGTGAAATGAATCCCCTGTGAAAATTGATTTTGGTTTGGATCGTGACCTGGAAGGGGCTTGAATTGCATGGTGCTGTGGGCAGCAATCCAGAGCCAGCACAGAGCAGAACCTGAATCGAGAGCGTGGAAAACTAAACTTTCCTCATACCTTGAGATTGAAGGTGCTGATGAGGGTGAACACTTAAAACTGAGTGTGACCTGATGTCACACAACAACAAAAACACATAAATACAACTTCACAGTGACTTGGATGTTTTGCTCACTGCTGGAGGCAGCTCTTGCTCAAAGGACATTTCCTGGAGTTTCATCTTTCTGCATCATTGCTGATGGCCCTTTGATTTCCTTATGGTCTCTCCACTTTCTGTTTGTTAGCTCTTTTAACACTGACACACCTTTAATTCCAGAACGGAGCGGATCTTACCGCACCAATTTCTTTGTAGAAAGAGCATGATCATCAAATTAAAGCACTTGGGAGAAAAACTTAAGTGACACATTTGGTTTTTTTCTTTTTTGTACAAGTAAATTCTTCTGTATGTAAATTCTTGTTTAGTGAAGTCTAGCCGTCTTTTTTTCCCACAAGCTGTTTGGTAGTTTTGCTGAGCAGGGCTCCTCTTTGTTTTGTGAGCTGCCCCACGGGAAGGGCGCAGCCCCAAGAGGGTCAGAGGCGGCGATAAACATGTATGCAAATTCTCTCCCAAATGAGGAGGATCCAAAGTTTTCACACGTGCTGATATTTTTTGTTCTGTGTGCTGAAATGTGGTGATCAGCAGCTGTGCTTCAGCTAGACTGGCACTGCCTCCCCTGCATCATCAGAGCACCTTGCTGGCTGATAAATGCAATACAAGCCTCTTGAAATCCTAACTTTGTCTCATTGTTCTTCAACGTTCTGAGATCCTAATGTCAAATGATTGCTGGTATGTTCAGTGTGTACGTTTTCTTTTGGGGTACCAAACTTTTGTTGTGTCCTCTATGGAAACAATGTGAATATATTCATGGAGTTTGTTTGATGCTGCAACAAGTTGAGTTAAAGATGAACGAACCAGAGCTTCGTTTTACCTTTCCAAAGTAAATTAGGGGCTCCCCTACTTTTGTAATGTCTGTAAGCTAAAGCAAATGCGTGGACAAGCTGTTGAGCTGCATTTTGTCAGCCTTACAAAAGCTTTCCTTGCCCATAGTGCTTCCATTTGGGAGGCAAGTAGAACGTTGCTGAGTTTTCCACTAAAATTATCGTGCGACTGTTGCACAGATGAAGGCAGCGTGCTGTGTTCACAAACTGTCTGTGTGCTTTTGCAAGGCTGTGTTGCATGTTCTGCTCTCAAACTCTACCTTCAGGTGTTTTGTAGCAGTCTCCCCTGCGCTGCGGTGGGGAAGAGCTGTTCACAGAAGGTAGAATTTGGCTCTCTGTGCGTTTCTCCATTTCTCTATATACGCTGCAGAGGTAGAAATCACTGTGTTGTGGGGCTCTGGATGAAACACGAAGGTGGTGCACAGGAGGATGTGGTCTGAGCATCCTTCCTGACTCAAACTGCTGATTCTTACAAGCTATGTTCCCAGGAATTCTACTCTGCAAATTTCCTGCAGTGAGGGACTGTGTGAACTGCTTCCTGTTTTAATGCCCACTGGTCAGGAATTGAAAGCATCCTCAGACTGCCTCAAGCAATACATCTCACTTGTCTGGGATAATAAATGCAGTGAACGGGGTAAATATCTTGAAGAATAAATGGATTTAAGCACTAAGCCTGCTTTTAAGGTGCAAGAACTGTGTTTTTCCTGGAGGGGGGATTTTTTACAGCCAGTAAGGAGCAATTGTTACCTGGCACTTGCAGTCAGAATCAGCAACAAGATCTGCATCACAGCGATGTGACGAGAAACATGGAATCCATCGAAAGGTTGTCGCCTGGTTCCAAGATGAGAGGGAACTGGCTTGTGATTGAGACGTGGCAGAAGGCAGACATGGGCAGGGCGCGTGCATCTTGCACCGTGGTTGTAGGACTGCACTGCAGAGTGGAAAGCTGCCCTAAGGTTAGATGAACTGCCGGACTCGGATGAACCGCGACCTTCCGTCTGTGCCAGTGCTGTGTGTGCAGCTGCACAGGCGCTCTGAGTGCCTTCAGCATCTTCATTAATACGCAGAAAATGCTCAAACAAGGCAAGAGTGAATCAGCATCTACTTTTTTTTTTCTCTCCATTTTGAGATGTCAGAAAAGATGAGTAAAAAAAAAAACAACAAAGGTTCTTGGGAACATAACTTGTATTTAAAGCAAAAGATTCTCGGTATTCTACCTTTCTTCAGACTTATATAACCCACAGCCTGTTTGTTCTGTTGCAGCAGCCTTCAGACCTTGTTCAGGAGCTTTGCTTTGCCATTCCATCTTTTCCTCTTGTTGTTTTCCTCCTTGTGTGATTCTTACTGTCTTGTCTATCACCTGTCTCCTTCTTCTGCTGTTTTGTTCTGACTTTTGTCTCCCCAAACCATCTCCTGGTTCCTCGTTCCCTGCATGCCACTAACTAGTTTCATTAGATGTTAATTGATTTGTGAATTCAGGCTGAATTGCATCATCAGCAGATGGCGGATCCAGACCTGTTGGAGGAATCCTCGTCACTCCTGGAGCCAAGTGAGATGGGAAGAGGTGCCCCCCTGCGGCTCGGGTAATGGCAATTTGTGCTGTCTTCTGTCTTGTGTTAACGCAGCTGCCTTTTGGTCATCCTGCAGAGTCTGCAGTGATTTGAGCACTGTTGTTGCAGGATTTAGACCGTGCTTGAAGCAGATGAAGGCTAACCTAAAGCTGACTGCCGGTCTGCTCTTGTCCTGCATACGTGAACTTCTACATGAGGAACTGTACCAGTCTATTCCTTGTAAATTGTTCTGTTTGCTTTTTCAGACACTGAGCTCTCACAGCTTTGTTGAAACCAGTAACTGTGAGCATGTACTACCATGAAAAAACGGTGGTTCTGTATCTTTGTCACAGTTAGGTTTGTTAGCTAGTTTCCATGACAAGGGGGTGAAGGGACCCACGGATCCATGCCCTGGGAAGAAGCTGCTTCCGGGCTGTTTCCACACCTGTGTGACTCTGTGTGGGCACAGGGATTTGAGTCAGTGGGGTCTTCTGAAGCTCATCCCTGGAACGCAGTCAGTGGTAACGCTGACCTCTCTATTCCTCCGCATGTGACGTGCCAGGAGCCTGATGAAATGAGCAGCAGTGGGCTTAGAAACTGTATGCCTAAAGGCATTTGTGTCCTCTTCTAGTCAGTAATTTTTTTAATGGACAATACTGTTAAGTCTCAGAGCTTGGTGTCGTGCTGCTGTTTGTGTTCCATCTCTGCGTATGCAGAGGACTTCCCGCGATGCATGAAGAATGACTTTCGAGACGAGATTTTGTAGCTTTCCCCACGCTGCCGAGCTCCAGCTGGTGTCGGTGCTGTGGGCGCAGGGCTCACGCTGTGCCTCTCCAGGTTTGTGGCCGGGGTGATCAACCGCGAGCGGCTCCCCACGTTTGAGCGCATGCTGTGGCGCGTGTGCCGAGGGAACGTCTTCCTGCGGCAGGCCGAAATCGAGAACCCGCTGGAGGACCCGGTCACGGTAAAGTTACCCGTCCTTACGGTGGCTAAAGGCTCAGATGTGTAGAAGGATCCACTCGCAGTTTTATGCCTCTTGCCCTCCTGAGCTCCACCAAGGCAAGCTTTTGTGTTGCAGCTCCTCACAGTGCCTCCTTACCGCATTTTAGGCTTCAGTGACAAAAGGAGAGATGGGCGATAAGCCCTGCTGCAGGGGGACGAGCATAGTTGCCTGTCTGCCACAAGCACGCAAGTGCAGCTGGTGTGTGGACTAGACTTCCATGGACGAGAGGCTCTTTCAGATAGCAGCAGTGCGTGGCAGCCGAGGCTCATTCATTTTGAACTTGGTGCTTTTCATAATATCTTAACCAGAAATTTAAGTGCACACCTGAGAATGGTTGGCTTTTTTGCAAGTACAATTAGTAAATCTTGTAATTGGGGCTGGTTTTACATAGAGTCCTCTCTGCTCAAATATGTGGACAATGTGCAAATTTTTGGATCTTAAAGTGGGGAAAAAAAAAAAGAAAAAGGCTGCATGAAAGCCGCACTGGAACGAAGGCGGCGTATTAAACTCACTAATTGCCTCTGTTTCTCATGCAAGGCTCCCTTGTTCTCCTGTCCTAACTTCTGGGGGCTGACCTGTTCAGTTATCTGTCAGCAAGGAGAGGCTTTGTTTTTAATGCGCAGCACTTCCTTAAATTGAGGTTACACCTAATGTAATTAATTTCTAGACATTATGGAAATATTTCCTAAGTGAAGTAGAACAATAACTTGTCAACAAATGCAGGAAAGGGGAACTGGCTACCAACATGAAAACAGCTGTGCAAAGAATGTGCTCTTGGCCTCCCTGGAGAAAAAAGGCCGCTGAACTCCATCTTTTTTTAGTTCACTCTTTTTGCTTGATTCTGTCGTCAGCTGCCCACAGTAAGTGATGATACATCTATTCATTGCATCCCTTTTCTTCTGGCCATTTTTCCCAGATTTTCATGTTTAGTCTGTGAGATAGGATAGAAAATCTAGAACATTTTGCTTCAGTAAGCAGAAATACAGAAGTGGTATTGAGGCCAAGAAACCCTGACTCTGATCCTTGTGACTTTCTGTGTTAAGGTGCATTCTTGACTCGCTGTGCAGTTTTGGTCTCTATGTGTACAGATTCCAATGAGGGGAAAGTAGGACACTGTTGTAACTCGCTGTAATGCTGATATTTGGAGCTGGCTGAGCTGTTACAACACACCCTTTCTTCTGTTCTAGGGGGACTATGTGCACAAGTCTGTATTTATCATCTTTTTCCAAGGTGACCAGTTGAAGAACAGAGTCAAGAAGATATGTGAAGGGTACGGAAGTTACTTGGAAGGCTTAGAGCTGGGCATCTTGCCGCGTGTAACACTCAGAAGAACGCTCTCAAATATTTGAAACACATTGAAATGGCTTCATATCCACAGTTTTCAGCTCCTTGCTCTGCGATGACTGTGGAAGTACATACTTAGACAGCAAATAAAATGTACCAGATATAGCTGTATCATTTGCAGTCACACTGGCTGCTCCCTAAGCCTGTAGCGCTCAAAGCAGACAACTGCTTTTTGTTAGAGAATGCCTAAAAGCAACGGGCTTTGTGCTGAACTCTCGCGCAGATCTGTCAGGCTGCCAGCAGGCAGCACTGTCACAGGAGACCAGCAGTGACTGCTTCTAGCAGCAGCTGCGTTGGCATGATAGGAAGCACCCTGAACTGGGTGGCCAATCGACTTCACAACGGTGCTTTTAGACTGTGTTGGTGCAGGGAGCAGAGGTGGTGTTTGGTTTGCTTTTTGTTTCTTCAGTATTCAACTTTGTTTTGGCCTTAAGCAAACTTCTATACCCACCTGATTTGAAGGCTGAAGCAGTGCTTGGCTGGCGTTGCTGACATTAAGATGCTCCTTGCTTTATTTCTGTGTTTAGTCTCAGCCATCTGTTTCCCTCTGGGTTAATGTTTCTCCCATCTTTGTTACTAAGGCTGCCTGTGTGTCTTTCAGATTCCGTGCCTCCCTCTACCCATGCCCAGAAACACCACAGGAGCGGAAGGAAATGGCTTCTGGTGTCAACACCAGAATTGATGATCTCCAGATGGTAAAATAAATGCAGTCAATACTTGTTTGTGTAATTAATAGTTAAATTCATCTTTGGGTCCTATTAAAGAGAATCGTTTTGGCCTTGTTAGGTGACCATACTTTCAGCTGAGGGTAGCTCGAGACCAGCACTGAGCACTGCAGGAAAGCTGCTGGAGGCTTTCTGCTCCTTTTCTTTTTCAGACTTGAGAGTGGTGGTTTGGTCTTTGCTGTGTCTGAGCAGTTAATTATATACATGTAAATGGTGTCAATATAGACCTGAATACCAGGGAGCAGAGAGGAATGTGCATGAGTAAGAAGATACTGTGCTTCCAACTCTGAAAGCGTGCTTGTATAATTGCCTGTTTCATCTTCAAGAGCTTAGAAAACATTTTTAAACTTGTCTCCATGTTGAGATAACGATGCTAATTTTAACCTATCGAGCTTTTCTGTCTGTCTTCATGTTTTCACCTTCTGCTTTCCTAAAGAGTTTCTGCATTATGATTAAACTGTTGTGCAGCAGCCTAAATGCTTGTTTAAAAGCAGTCAGCACACAAAACTATGAAGTGCCAGCTCTGAAATATTTGACATTTGCTTCAAGGAGAAAAGGCCGTATGTCATAATGCAGAAAAACCAGAGGGATCTAAGAGAAAATCAGGAGAAAGTTCAGGAACTTGGTTGCATTTTCATGGCTTATTTGATACAGAACCCGTATCAGGCTGGGAGATTTGTGGTGCAGCTGTTTAGTAAAGTAGATAAGAATGCAGAAGCAATTTGACTGTTAACATTCAGAGCTGCATGTGATAGCTGTGCCCTGTGTCCTCACTTTCCCTTGAGTCTCAGACTTTCCAGGCTGGGAATCTGACTTTGCCTGAGTTAGACACGTTCCAGTTGGAAAACACTCAGTAAAACACACTTTATCCTTTTCAGGGGAAAAAAAAAGTGTTGTGATGTTATTTGGGGTTTTTAGGAGGTTTTCAGGTGCTGTGCGGATCGCCTGCAGGACTCTTCTCTGCTCTTTTAACCTGGGTGGAGGAAAGAATGTTCTCTGTTGTCTCTGAACAGCTTAGCTCATTGTTTGAAGTACCCACTGACCTTGGGGTTGGAGGAGGAAAGCAGTCAGACTATACCTGGAAAGAAGCCCTAACCCTTTTAGCAGAAGGGAGTAATTAGTATGGGAACTAAAGCGTCACAGCGTGTGGAAGTGCTGTGCGTGGATGGGGCCAGGGCTTATCCATCCATTGTCTGTTGAATAAGGCTTGTCTTGTTGGTCAGCCCTGCTGTGCTCTTTGTATGCTGTGAGTTTTGGCTGCTGATTTTGCCTCATCTTTGTCTCACTTTCCACGAAAGGTGCTGAACCAAACTGAGGATCACCGCCAGAGAGTTCTGCAGGCAGCTGCTAAAAATATTCGGGTCTGGTTCATCAAAGTCCGCAAGATGAAGGCCATCTACCATACCCTGAATCTGTGCAACATTGATGTGACACAGAAGTGCTTGATTGCTGAAGTCTGGTGTCCTGTTGCTGACCTCGATTCTATCCAGTTTGCCCTCCGGAGAGGCACTGTGAGTAGCTGCTGCACAGCTCCTGTCTGCTGTTCAGGCAGATCTCAGCAAATGCAACAGGAATTAATTGATTTTTCTGGAAACCGCTTCTTTAGACTGCTCCCATCAGCCCTCACAGAGGAGAGTTTGTCTAACGTGCAGGAGTGGTGGCTGATAGGTATTCTGCTGTGCACCTCACTTAGTTACAAAAATGTTGTGTAAGCCTTCAAGTTCAGGAAAGTGCCGTGATAAAACATCTTCCTGTGTTGGAGTCATTTGGTCAGCCTGGCTGTGCTTTGCAGTCCTGCTGTTTTTACATGCAGTGGAACTTAAAGGAACGATCCAGAGCTTTAGCAAGCTCACTCCCTCTGCTCAGGTAAAAATGAAGAGTTGGGTGCCTTGAAAATTTTATTTCTGCTGTTACGCGACAGGGAGAGCAGAGGAAATTTGGCAGCCTTCTTCAACGGCTGAAGCATCTTCCATCAGGGAAGCAGTCTACAAAAATGAAAGCCTGTACTTCTCCAAATGCTGGCAGGAAATAAATGTTTTACTCTGTCTTCCATTGGCCCAAGGAATTTGCTAATCCTGATCTGTTCTTTTTCTTTTACTTCCACAACAGGAGCACAGTGGTTCCACTGTCCCATCTATTTTAAATCGGATGCAAACCAATCAGACCCCACCAACATACAACAAAACCAACAAGTTCACCTGTGGCTTTCAGAACATTGTTGATGCTTATGGCATTGGAACTTATCGGGAAATAAATCCAGGTAGATCCATACTTCAAGAAGTAATGAAGTAATTTCTAGTCATGGTGTTCCTCCATTGCCTGTCCTGTGTGAAAATGTCTAATATGGGGCTTTGCAGCCTTTGGCAGCGGGGAACAAACTTTGGAATCCGCGCTGTAGTAAATCTGGGCCTGGTCAAATACAGTGCATCAGGAGTGCCTTTCTCTTACAGCCCCATATACCATCATCACCTTCCCGTTTCTGTTTGCTGTGATGTTTGGAGATTTTGGCCACGGAATCCTGATGACTCTGATTGCTATCTGGATGGTGCTTAGGGAGAGTCGTATTCTGTCACAGAAAAGTGACAATGAGGTAAGGAGAGGCAGTGTGCTCAGCTTTGTGTGCAGTACAGAGCTGTGACTGGATTTACTTGTATCTCCCCCTTTGTTATTCCTTGAAACAGGAAGCACGCAAGCAGAATGCCAGTCTGTACAGCATAGACTGAGCTGCATGTTACTTCATAGTAACAGTCAGTTTCTTTGTTTTTGCTTTCAGAAATTTGTAGGAAATTATTTCTTTTAGACATTTGAAGGAAATCGTTTACTGAGTGCAGTTGGACACTAAGCTGCTATAAATGAATCAACCAAAGCCAGATCGGATCATAAAGGCTTGCAATCATTGCACAACTCCTAGTGTTTGTGCACACAAATGTGTGCATCTCCATGATTTTATTTTTTCTGCTGTTCTGGACAAGTCTGCTTTGCTCAGGGCTTAGACTGATAGGAGATGAATCAGTTAATGTCCATGGACAGAGCGTGGAGAAAGCTGGAACAGGGTCAGCACTGCTGAGTTCCAAAGTGGTGCTGCCAGCTGGGGTTTGCATCACTCGTGGAGTGCAATTTATCCCCTTTAGCTAATCAGCCTGCTTATCCTCCACATTCGGGTTCTGTTCTTGCACAGTTACCTCTTGCACCCTTGATCTCCCTCAAAACAGATGCTGTGCTGTCAGTCCATGGGCCAGCATTGCTTGTTCTGCTGCCTGCTTTTGCTGTTTTGTTTGTGTGAGACGTGTCCCTTGTTCTCACAGACTTTCTCCTCTCCTCTTTTCATATTAGATGTTCAACACTGTTTTTAGTGGTCGATACATCATCCTGCTGATGGGGCTGTTCTCCACTTACACAGGCCTTATCTACAACGACTGCTTCTCCAAGTCTCTCAATATGTTCGGCTCGTCGTGGAGCGTCCGGCCGATGTTCTCCAAAGCCAATTGGTCGTGAGTAAATAGTTCTTAATTGAATGAAGTGTGACAGTGGCAAGTAGGTGATTTGTCTTTCACCGTTGTCTTACCAGTTCTGGAAGACAAAAACTTCTGGACTCAGTTTCAGGTGGAGTAGGAAGAGGGGTGCAAATGTGACACCTCTCGAGTTGCGAACCTGCTTGTTTTCAGGAAACTCACAAAGATGCACTTTATCACCTTTCCCATTGACGTAGCGCCATTCCTGTCCCTCTGTCTTTTCCTTGTGACGCAGCGTAACAGGTCAAGAGTCAGGTCTGTTCCTGGAAAATGTTCAGGGCTGCGTGGGAACCTTACAGTTCTCTCATTTTGAGATATCCCTTGCACTCACAAGGAAGAATGCTGTTAGTTTTAAAAGGAGGTCAGCGTTGCTTGTGCTGACATGTTATATAATCTGCTTACACCCAAACAGAGATGAACTGCTTAAGACTACTCCTTTGCTTCAACTGGACCCTGCTGAAGCAGGAGTGTTTGGTGGCCCCTACCCCTTCGGCATCGACCCGGTAAGAGCTCTTCCTTCCTCTGCTGTCCTTCAAGAACATCCTGTGTGTAAACACAAAAGGATCTGTTCGAATCACTCTGAAAGTTTTCCATATCCCAGCAAAAGGTGTTTGAAATAGTCGTGAGTGATGAAAATGAATCTAGTTCCAAAGAGGCAGGTGCAGGGTGGAAAGACTTGGGACAATGGCAGATTTCTTCCTCACCCTTTCCAACCTGCATTTTAGTCACATCTGGGATGAGATTTAGAAATCGCTTTGTGAAGTTACTTTTTTTCCTACTTTGGAGAAAGCCAGTTCTCTTTCCAGTCAGTCTTGGAAATGTAATTTCTGAGTAACAGTCAGTTTGTAGCTGCCTGTTTCAATAACGCTACTCCTATGCTTTTAGGATTTGATAGAAAAATTTGCATGTGTTCCACATGAAAGATGAGGTGGCAGAAAGTCAGAAGTTACGTGTAATTTCTCGTTGAAATGTATGAACAGGTTTTCTGTCGAGATAACAGCCCTCTGCACTCCTTTCCTGCTACTTTTGGCAAAATGAAAATAAGCAAGGTTTGATTCCTGCTCTGATGGTGGGATCAGTGAGGGTTCTTATCAGAAAGGTTGTCTGCTGAGCTTTCCTGAGCAGATCTCTGTATGACAAACACAGGTTAGCTGAAGCGGAACACTTTCATTCTTGTGTGTTTTCCTTTCGCTCCGTGTTGGGCTGACTCACTGTTGCTGTTTTTCACAGATCTGGAATATTGCCAACAATAAACTGGCCTTCCTCAACTCATTTAAGATGAAAATGTCTGTGATTCTTGGCATTATCCACATGCTCTTTGGTGTCATGTTGAGTCTTCTCAACCACATGTAAGAGCCTGATTCCTGTTTTTCTGATGGGAGAGGAGGGAGAATTTCTCTGGGTCTAGTTTGTGTATCAGTTTAAGATGCAGAAACCTCAGACTTTAACCTTCTGATTGAAAGGCATGGTAGTTATTTCTGTGTGTGCATATAACTACACGAGTCAAGTAATTAACTGTGTTTAAGCCCTAGCTCTTACAGAAATGCACAGCCTCTGCAGTTTTGTCACCAAACTGCTTTTTCCTTCTCATGTGAAGTTTTTGCCCTACATCAGACTAATGCAAACTAAATGTAATTTTAAACTTTCCTCTTTTTATTTTCCTGTAGATATTTTAAGAAGCCACTGAACATATACCTCGGATTTATTCCAGAGATGATTTTCATGTCCTCGCTGTTTGGATACCTCGTTATTCTCATTTTCTATAAATGGACAGCCTACGATGCTCACACATCAAAGGAAGCCCCAAGCCTTCTAATACATTTTATCAACATGTTCTTGTTTTCCTATGGTGATACCAGTAACAAGATGCTTTATAAAGGGCAGGTGTGTACTGCTTTTTGAATCGTAAGGTCAGAGGTGCTTTGCGATGTTCGTCTTTGATCGACCTTATAATCATTGTAAAATTAAGCACTTTGTTAGAGAAGAAATGTGGCATTGTTTCCGAAGCCCGATGCTGTGCAATGTGGAAGAAAGACAGATTTTCTGTGCAGAGAGTTTATATCAGTCTGAGCACATCAGCTGTGGCTCCAGAAAACGTGGATCCAAATCAGCAGCGGGAAGTCAGTAGGAATGTTGCCTGCACCTACAGTGCAGTGCCTCTGCGCCCAGCAGCTCGTGTGAATGCTGCTTGCAGGCCCCTCATCTGACCGGTGTCAGTGTCACCTTGTGTGCAGGCAGCTGCAGTCAGGTATCAAGTACAGCACATCTTGGAAGAGAGAGTGTGTGACGCATCCACGTACTCTGGGAATTCAGTCATTCAGTGTTGCTTAAGACTGCCTGAAAGCGTTTGTGTGAACATGGACTATCACTAAATCACCTGAGGCTTGTTTCTTTTACAGAAAGGACTCCAGTGTTTCCTCGTGGTGGTGGCATTACTGTGCGTGCCGTGGATGCTGGTAGCTAAACCTCTGGTCCTTCGCCACCAGTATTTAAGGAGAAAGCACTTGGTGGGTGACGACTTCGTATGTTTTCAGTATGAGAACAAATTATAATTGAAAAGCTGTTTTCCACCTTGTCCTTGGTATGTGGGTTCACACAGTGTTACAGACCTGTAAAGGCTCTCTGCGTGTTCCTGGCCATTGAGGCAGGCAGCTGTTACTGGAGGCGAAGCATTGCCTGCCTGCTCCTCAAACTGGATCCAGAGTCAAACCAGCTTTAAAAACCCTGCCTGTTGGTATTGATAAAAACACTAAAACCGCCTTGAGTATTGTCAGCTGGTTCAGGAACCCAGTCTTACTTGTTGCTGGATGCACTTCTGGGCCTTTGCTAGGGTGATGATGTAAAAGCAGTGGAGTTAGCTTCATTGGCCTGCAGACTTAATAGCCATCTTTGGTAAAGCAGTTCAGATGGTTTAAAAAAGAAGATAGCACAAGTCTATTTCTTTTTTATGTGAGACTATCTCCTGGGGTAATCTCTAGGTTTCCAAGTGTATTGTAAAGAATCCTTCCTAGAAAATGCAGGAACTTGGCACGTGTGCACTGGGGATCTTGAAAACTCTCCCTGCATGTATGGCAGATAGCTTTTAGGATGTTAAGCGAGTCAAAGATCAGTCCAGTTAAAGACACTCCCTCTCCCTTCTCTGACCATCTTTCATCCTCCCATGTCCCCTCCATTCGTCTCCCTTTCTCTTTTTGTCTTCCTCCTCCTCCCCTTCTTTTCTTCCATTCGCTATCAGGAAGGGCAGCCCGTGGAGGCCCAGGTCAGCACAGTCCCGAACGCGCAGGCACTAGAGGCAGCAGCGGCTGCAACAGTGAGTGGAATTAAAAATCACCTGATGGATTTGTATCGAATTAACGAGAGAGCACGAAATGTTCCTGAATTCCATAAGTGAATGACTACTGCACCTTTAGGGTGAAAGAGACTTTCTCTTGGAAAGAGCAAAGTTCAGCAAAGCTGATGCATTCTGGAAGAGCTGCCAGGCTGCTGGATAATAGTTACATACGCACAGAATGCAGGCACCTCTTTGCAGGAGTGTTGCTGAAATCACAACCTGCAGAGCGGCACAAGAGTACCTTGCTGCCACATCCCCCCAAGTTAAGTTCCCCTTTTTCCTTTTCTTGCGTATTTGTTTAAGCGAGAGTAGGATTTCTTTCATTGAAGCATTTTTGTTTACATTGTGTTCCCAGGCATTTTAGTGATGGCCTCCCAACATCACGGCAATAATTACTGGTTTGGGGCATCTGTGCCTGTGTGGCACTTTGACTTAAAGCTGCTGTAATGAGGTGGTGCACAAATAAGCTACAGGCAGCCCTTCAGTGTGAAAGCTTTCTGGGAGAGCAAGGATTGCAGCAGCTCCAGAACTTCATCCCTTCCCCTGTACATCATATTTTAGATGGGTTTTAGTTCTGAATGCCACCTCTCTAACAAGCTGAAGTCTTTCAAGCTATGAAACACGTTGTACTTTGTGTCAGAGGTGATTTGGGGACAACTTCTTAGCTGTTGGCTCCTGTTTCTGTTATGAAATCTTAAGTAGCTACACAGGTCAGAAAAGACAGTGCATCTCTTGTGCATAATTCATCCAACACATTAAGTGCATCCAGTAAGAGAAGCTGTGAGTGAAGATGTTTGCTTGAAGTGTGGTTAGAACTGTGAAGTTGGTTGGAGCTTTTGGAGCTGTGGGAAGTTTGGCTGCAGAGAACAGACACAAGTTGAGTGTGAGGGAAGAGTTTCAAGGTGCAGATTCATGCAACCAGGAACATAGAAGTGGAATACTGATACTATTGATCAGTAACTACTGATATTTTTTTTTACTGTGATAAAAATTGTAGTAGAAGTGCTATCTTAGCTAGAAATGTAGCCTGGCTGTTTTCATCTTATTTCTGTTTTCAGAGCATAAATGCCTAATTTATTTTTTTTAGAAACATCCCAGCCAAATCTTAAATTCATGTCTGATATTTTGGGCAAACGTTCAGCGTTAAGCAGAAGCTGGCCTTTAAGAGCAGATCAGCTAAAGAACAGCACGCTGAGCAGCAGTGCTGCTGGACGCCAGAGCCGTGCAGTGTGGGAGCAGTCGGCTCTCAGAATCTCAGTGCTTCATTTTTGCCAGCCCTAAACTTACCGAGAATTAATGTTGCTACGTAGTTTGTTTGCATTCCATGTCACAGATGACCCCAGTACAGTCCTGAGGCTGAGCACAGGGATTTTGTTCCCATTTGTGGCACTTTAGTTTGCTTCTGTAGGTAGGTCAGTCGGAGGCGTTCACGTCAGATCAGTCACAAGCATTCTGTGTCTTTGGAGCACGTGGCAGGAAGGAGGAGTCCTGCAGTGCGGTGCCACTTGCTGAGCACAAGTCCAGAAATTGTGATGTGCCACTCAGGCCTCCGTAGCGCGGCGCACATTTAGAGCGCAGGAAAGCTCAGCTTGAGAGCGCAGTCATGGTGAGCCGCTCCCTGCGTCCGCTCTCGGCTGTGAGGCTGTAGGTGCCTGCCGTGAGCCTCACGTTAACAGTGCCTGCAGTCACTGGGTGGCTCTCAGAGGGTGTCAGATTGGTTTGTGGCTTTACTCTTTTCTGCTTGGAGTGCGGTGGGTTTATGGCTGCCAGACGCTGAATGTCAAAACAATTCTCTATAAAAGGAACTGCTTGCACAACGCAGAATTTCCATGTGAGGGAAAGTCTGATTTCCCACGTGTGTTGCTGTGCCTGACATGGTGTGTGTGCATTTCTGAGCCACGGTGTGACTCGTCCCACCTACAACAACAGTGGTGTTTCACTCGGGTTCTCCATGCTTGCTTCACAGCTGCTGTTGTGCAAAACATTGGTCTGTTCACATCAGTTACAGCAAACGTCCTCATGAGAGATTGGGCATTTGTTTTACTTAGGTTTGCAATTACTTTATAGAACGTATCAAGTATTCATTCAGACCTTTTTTCCCAGCCTTACAGGATTCAGCATCTTTTCTATCCAAACTGAGAGAAGGAATTGTACAGCTGATTAAACCTGGGCTTTAATATTTTGTCTTCTTCTGTGAGCAACTGCTGCTGTGCACGGAGTCAGAAGAAGCTTCTGCTGTCATAGTAAGCCACAAACAACACTTTTTATTCTTTTTTTTTCTGCGTGTATTAGGGAACACACAACTTTGGTGGGATCCGGGTGGGCAATGGACCGACAGAGGAGGATGCTGAGATCATCCAACATGATCAGTTGTCGACCCATTCTGAGGAGGGGGAGGAGGTAAGTACCTGAGCGTCCTCTCTCAGTGCACGTGGGAACAGAACGTGCTGGTTTGGCTGTATTTTCCAGTTGTTTAGATAGCAACATTCTCAGTGAAGTGTTTTCATAGCAGTAAAGTACTGCAGTCTTCTGGTCATTCCCAGGACTTCAAGGCAGGGAAAAAGTATAATTTGCAGGCAAAGGGAAATTTAGTTCTGTTTGTCTTCATTAGAAGGAACCACCATCTCACAGGCTGTGCAGTGAGGGTTGCAGAGTGCTTTTGCTGTTTGCTTCTCTACTGTTAGCCACAACCCAAAGCCATTTTTCTATAGTAGTGGGTTCCTACCTGTATTTGTTCTGACTGCTGGGGTTGCACTGCCTGCTTTGCCGTACTGCTGGTAGAGAAGAAAAAGGAGACAATCTCTTTTAATTTGGGAGTTTGTTGCTCCACGTAGTGCATGTGATTTGTTACTGCTTCACCGTGTCGTGTTTAGGAGGGGATGATTGAATGTGTTCATGATTAATGTTGATTGAGACACCACACTAAATGTGAACTTATGTTTTCAAGCCTACAGAGGATGAGGTGGTAAGACTACAGCCAGCTTTGCTGCACTCATGTGTATCTGGAACATTTCCCATTGGTGTAAAGCACACACTGAATTGAGCGTTATGTCATGGCATCTTTTCCAAAAGATCCAGCTATTGCCACGCTGCAGGCCATCTTTAATCCTTCATACAGTGTCGCACCCACTAACAGACCTCTGATTACTTCATTTATTCAGCTTGTCTGTCTTATCCCCTGTCTGCAGATCTCTTAGTTCACCCAGAAAGCTGTTAAGCCAGAACTCTGAAACTGAGAAGTTTATGCTTTAAGCTTCTGAAGAAGTCTCATTTGCCTTATGTTGTGTCTTTGGTAATTCTGCATTGCAATAAAGCACTTAAAGCTGATATGCCCCCCCCACCCCTAACTGACTTCCATTTTAAGGACAATACTGGTTGTTGCCAATGAGAAAATACAGCAAATCTGGCCCAGTTTGCATATAGTTCAGCAGCTTAATTAACCTGCATTTTTTCTGTAGGAAGAGAGGCTCTGTTCTGAGAAACTGCTCATTCATAAATAGTTGTAAGAATTACGAGTATTGAGTGGGTTCTAGGAACTCCTGTGCAGAATTCATTGCAGGTGTCAGGAGATCAGTAACCAAATTTGTTACGAAAATGTAAAGGCCGTGAAAGTAGAGTAGTTTTGCAAGAATGATGTTGTCTTAAATGATGCTGAAGGTGGTTCTGTTGTGCGGAAGGTGGACCTGTGGTGTATAATTCCATGTGGAACGGGTGTTAATTCTGTAATCCTCTGAAAAATGTGTAAAACCACCCCAACGCGGGGATCCTGCTGAGCCTTCAGCACAGTGATGGATTCTCTCCAGCAGCTGCATGAGGCTGAATTGTCATTGCTGAAATACTCATCGCGTTCCATCAGTTGCACGCTGGTGTGCGATGTGTGCTGGGAGGTGGCACTGTTTGCTGGGACAGTTTTTGCTAAAGAAGGTCGCAGCTCTCACTCTGTGGAGGAAGAATTGCACTTCTGACACTTGGTTTAACTTTGCTGCTTACAATATTTACTGAGAGCACAGTCAGCACACACGCAGCCTGCTGTGCATGCCTGCAGTGCGGGTTGCTCCATGTCTTTAAAACCACTTTGACTTGACTTAAATATGAGCAGTTTCTGAAGCACAGATTAAATCCAAAATGTACGGAATGCTTTCACAAGGTGAACAGTAAGAAACTGTCCTTCATGGCAGACTTCCTTATGATTTCTTAATTATTATTTCAGAGATTCACGAATTGTTCAGGTAGGGCTTTCTCAAAACTGCTTTGTGCATTATTTTTGCTTTCAAAGAGGATAAGTCATGTTTTGCAAAGCGGTCTTTTCACAACGGTGCGCAGTATTGACTTGGCATACCGTCTCTGTTCTTGTAGAAGCACATGCAGCTTCCCAGTGAATTCATACGAACACCATCTTGTTGCTGTACAGTCTTTTCCTGGCAAAGTCAATGGCAGAATTCAAGATATCTTGATTTTGTACAATAGGGCATGAAAACAATCATTAAACTACAGCAGTGAACTGTGATTCTCCAAACCCAGTCAGACAGGAGAATTTGGTTTTAATTCATAAAACTGACATGCTAACCCAGGAGAAGACAGTACCAGTGTCTGAGTTCAAACACGATGTCCTCGGTGGTAGCGCCCGGTAGTTGCTCGTTCTCCCAGCCCTTCCTGCCTGCACATCTCGCAGCTCTCTTCATCTTCTGTGTTCGCTTTGCAGTTTGACTTTGCTGACACTGTGGTGTACCAGGCCATCCACACCATTGAGTACTGCCTGGGCTGCATCTCCAACACTGCGTCCTACCTGAGGCTCTGGGCTCTCAGCTTAGCCCACGCACGTGAGTACTCCTGGGCTGGGAGTCCAGCTCAGTGCCACCGATGGCCTGGGCAAAGGGCAGCAGCGCCGGCGGCTTCCCCAGAGCTCGGCTCTGCGGTTCGGGCGCTGCTGGAGGAGGGCAGAGCTGTGTGTGAACAGCACTGTCTGCGTGCACAGCACCCTGCTGACAGCCGCCTGGATCTGGAAGGATGGGTGGGATTGGAAGAGCGCAGGGCTGCTGAGCAGTGGGCCTGCACTGCGTGCGGCAGTGGGCAGCAATGTCCTGACATACTTGCCTGCAAAAACTCTTGTCTCTCCTGTGTTTCCCACTTCATTCCGGTGGAAGATTTTTTTTTCTCGATCTCGCTTTCTGCTCTATAAGAAAACTGCAGCTCTCTCGTGGTTGGATGCTCTGAAATGAGTCCTCTCCTCTCTTCTCCTGGCAGAGCTTTCGGAGGTGCTGTGGACCATGGTGATCCACACTGGGCTCAGCGTGAGGAGTCTGGCTGGAGGCTTTGGCCTTTTCTTCATTTTTGCTGCTTTTGCTACCCTGACGGTGGCAATTCTCCTGGTCATGGAGGGCCTGTCTGCTTTCCTCCATGCTCTTCGCTTGCACTGGTGAGTTACAGCAATGCTCAGAAATCATGAGCTCAGCATGGAAAGGAGATTGATATCATGTGGAGAAATGCACATCTTCCAGAAGATCGTGCTGGTTGTTACGCAGTGAGTGAGGCTGTAACACTGCGGTGGTGGATAATGCTGTGGTGAGCTGGTCATGTTCAGAAGTGCTGGAGGACCATAACTCTTCCCTAAACATCCTACAGAAGATGTGCTCTGACAGCAAAAAGTCTTAAGTATGGTCAGAGATTTCACTCTTCATTCTGTTAATGCTCTCCTCTCTCCTTATCATAGACATAAACTTGCTTAGAAATTGTGGAGAGTAGCTGAACTGTAATTAAAAATGAATTAGACCAGAGCTTTGTGAACAGTAGGATGGGAACCCTGTGCGAGGTGAGTGAATGTGCTTCTGGCTTTCAGTAGGATCGCTTTTTGTTCTGCCCTTTGGTCTTCTGCCTGGTCCTGTAAGCACAGAGAGCAAAGTGAAGTTCAGAAGGAGCTTTCTGTTTTGCTTAAATGGAAGAAAAACTGTTCTGAACACTTCTTAAAAGCAGTCTCCCAAGTGGGAAGTCTGTGCCTTTCAAAAGCGAGCAGAAACGCCCTTTCTTGCACTTTCCTCCAGTTTCTCAGGAGTGGTAACTGCGTCCCTTTGCTCTCTGTGCTGACAGCCTACTTGGGTGAGCACTGAGACGTTCCGGCCGTCCCTGTAGCAAAGTGAGTGGAGGTGGACCAGGAAATGCAGGGCTGGCTGTAGCCATCTTGTGCTGAGGGAGCCCATGTGGGGGCTGCTGCTGGAAATGGCTGCTGGGTGGTGCTTCTGTTTGCTTTCCTGGCTTCTGGCCTAGGAATCTTCATACCAGGCACTGGAGGCCTTCTTGCTGGCTGGCGTTTCCTCATCCTCGTACTGCTGTCACTGTACTGCGTGTTGCGTCAGTGTGAAGGGAGTCTTGCACCCCCTGCCCAGCACTGCTGCTAACAGTCCAAGAGCAGAGCGAGCAGAACTGGCTGTGCGTGGTGTCCCTGGTCTTCAGTGTGTGCAAACTACAAGATTTTTAAACTCTTGTTTGTCTGGAGCGTGGCGCTTGGTGGCACGTTGCTGCATAACAGGAGGTGCACGTTTCTGAGTGCTCTTCTTTGGCAGATGTAACCCTTTTTACTCAAAGGAATGGCCTCAGTTAGGAAAGTGTGTTCTTGTTTTTGTTCATTTATTTGTTTTTTTTTCTGTAGATACCAATTTTGTGTTAATAATCAGACTGCATTTAAGGATACTGCTCACAAAGCATCTGAATCAAGTGTGAGTGAGAGGATACAGCTCAGCAAAGAGAGTTTTTCACATTGTAAAATGTGATTAAAATGATCTGGAAATGTGTAAAGGGAAGATAGATGCAAGAATGGCAAGCAAAGAGGAAAAAAAACAGATAAGCAACAGCAGTAAGCATGCAAGTCACAGGTGCTATGCACAGCGTAGCAGGGCCTTGTTGGGAGCTGCAGAACTGAAGCTCTTCAGTCATATTTCCCCTGTGTTTCAAACTTGTAAAACCTTAAATTACATTCTCCAAGATAGAACCTGCTCAAGTTTAGTCTCTGAAAAGCAATCTGAAGGCACTACTTCAGACTGAATGTGACGTGCTGGGATTGTTTTGCTTTTGTTTGGATTTCCATTATCAGTGGAGTGAAAAGTGCACCTGCAGATGTTCAAAACAACGTGCTGTTAACATCCCTTTTTGTTTCCAAACCTGAAATTGGTAAACTTCCAATGGTTTGTATGGGGGAGGGGGACAAAATATCTGTGCTGGGAGGAGCAGATCGGATTTTGTTACTCTGGGAGGAGAGTCCCCTATCTGGAATTCTGAAGGTGTGGGTGGTTCATCCTTCCTGGAAAGGGAATCGTTTAGCACACATCTCGTTAGTGAGAAGAATGGGTTCTTCTGAGAGTTCTACCTATCAGTGCCAGTTGAGGAGGACTTGCTGTGTGCTTTTGCAG